AGTACAGGTGGATATGTTTTGTAGGGTTTATCATTCGTAGAGATCATGTTCTTATAGTTTCGATTAAGAAAAGTTCTCCGAGCTGCGTCTCTGTTTCTATTTTCCGACTTTTGTCCCCTGTTTCTGTTATTAGGGTGCATAACATTGCAACATATATCGATCGACGAAAATAGTCTTCTCTTTTCTTTCTCATTCTGACAATGATGGTAAAATCTTTTTACAGCAATGCTTCGTGCAACAAACAAAGGAGCGAAGTTTAGATCATATCCTACTCTTCAATGTTCATCACTTTCCCCACTTTTTGCCTGATTACATTTTCAGGAGATAAGAGAAGAAGGTTGTTTGTTGGCCAAAACATGGTGTAGTATGTAGAGATACACGTTAGTATATTTTTTGTTCAAGAGATGATAGATCAAATTATGGAATTGCAACTTTTTTTAGTTCTTTCATTCAAGTCTCACAACAAAAGGCAATGTCTAGTCTTTCAACATATGAATGTTGGTTTCCTATTGTTGGATTGGGATGAAGTTGTAGTAGTTTTGTTTTGATATTTTATAGGGATGATTTTATGACATTTTGCTACATTGAGTTAAAAGGTGTTATATCATTTTTAAAAGTTCCACCATATCAGTTAAAATTCATGAGACGACATATTGTTCCTAGAACTTCCATATATGACATTTTAGCGTCCCTGATTATACCACTTAAGGGACTACGAGTTGTCTCGAAAAGTTACATGGATGACAATTAGTCATCTCGAAAGATAAGTTTAACGACAATTGGTTGTCCCTATAAGTTAAATAGGCGACAAATTGATGGCTCTGAAGACACTGATTAAGGGATGATTGGTCGTCCCTGCAATTAATTCGTGACAATTAGGCGTCCCCAAAAATACAGTTTAAGGGACAATTAATCATCCCCACAAGTAATACAGGAGACAATTAGTCGTGCGCATAGACACATGCTAAGGGACAACAGGTCGTTCATATTAGTTACACAGGGGACAATTAATCCTTCCCAAAAAGCGTATAAGAGACAACTTCTCGTCCCCCAATACACAAGTTAAGGGACAATTGTTCATCCCTAAAAGTCATAGGTGACAACTTGTTGTCTCTAAAAGATATTGTATAGGAGACCACTCGTAGTCCTAGAATAAAGCTTTGATGACGATTTTTGGACTCCAATTCGACACATATAGGAACGACATGGCGACCCTATAAAAAGAAAAGGGGACAACAAATTATCCTCATATTGGCCCAACACAATTATGAAATCAATTATGTGGGACAACAGTTTGTCCCTAGAAATGATGTTTAGGGGACGACTTATTGTCTCTAAAGTTATATCTATGGGGACGACATGTTGTCTTTCATAGAAAAGAAACGAGGCGGCGACTAGTGAATATTGGGGACGACTGTCGTCCCTAGTCATGGGGACGACCTAGATTTTTGTCGTCCCCAAAAAAATAGAGGACAAGAGTATAGGGAACCACACATTGGGGACCACTAAGCCGTCCCCAAAAACTATAGGGACGATTTTTCCTATTTCCGGGGACGATTTTTGTCGTCCCCAAACCTCTTTTTTTTTGTAGTGATGCCAAATGTGTTGGGTCATGGGTTGCTGTAATAATTGCCGCCGGCGTTGTGGCGTGATTCATGTTCTGACCGAGGAATTGTTGCAATCGTGTATTCATTACAAATCACTGGTTTAGTATTATAAATATATACATGTGTTGTTGTTGGGGTGTGGAGGTGGGTGGCACACATCACATGCACCATATATACTCTCCCATGGCACAAAAGTCATGTTGGTTATGTTTTCTTTGTGGCACTTAAAAGTTAAGAGTCACATTACGAAACGAAATAGAGAGTGTTGTGTGATGTCAGTTTTATATTGATATAGGTGGATAAATAATCGTTGATGGATGTTATAATTGCTTTTGTCTGATAGACCAATGTTCCCAAAATCACAAATACAATGTATGGTTGGCTATGATTGTAGAATTGGTACTGTAGTTGTTCTCTCAAACAACGAGTAGTATGTATACATTATCACGATATACGTGTCTACGGTGTCTTGATGCATGAAATTTGTTTTTTTGTTGGTTAGTGGTGATTGTTTTTGTTTTATTTTGGATAATTTATCCTTTGTGTATGAAGCTTATGATGTCAATTTGATGGTAATAAAAGATAAATATATATTGACTTTGTCTAGCATAAATATAACCTCGTTTTAGGATGTTTTCCTCATAATTATCATTTTGACCATTTAATTCATCTCTAAATAGTCTCAATCTTGGACCTTATGTACATTGTACTATGACGAACAAAATTGGCCTATGAATTTGAACAAAAATCACTTATAATCTCTTCGTATATTCAAAATGTATTTAAAAAATATTGTGGAAAAGATTTTTTTTATTTTTTTATCATTTACACCTCCAAACAACCTCAGCTAATGACTATTATGTTAATTCCATTCAATTGTAATTTTTTTAGGATAATTTAGTTGTAGTTGTATGTTGACATTGCATTTTAAAAGAACAAAATTTCCTCCAATTGTACTTGAATGAACAATAACCAGTTATTTTCCATGAAGTTCAAAATCCCTTTGATATGGATCATCCGGCATATCATATATATATATAGTGGCGTCTTCGGTGCACTCACTTTTTTGGGTGCATTCAGTGCACTCGCTTCATAACCGTCATTATAAACATGCGATTTATGCTAAAATGATGTCAATAATCACTTATGATGTGATGAACAATAACGCACATGAATTTGCACAAAAACCATTAAGATTTACTTTAATTTGAAGGATTTAGAGTTTAGAGATTTAGGGTTAGGGTTAGGGTTAATAATTTGGGATTTAGGGATAGAACTCAAAATTGGAAGTCTAGGGCTTAGGGCAATCCGCTAATTAGTTGTTATCATATGTTATATCATCATATTACACTAATTCTACAAATTAAAATTCAAAATCCGACAGCTTAAGACTAGTTTATATATATATGGTGACTACTTCGGTGCACTCACTTTTTGGGTGCATTGAATACACTCATCTCTAAAAGTGGTCATAATACATCAAATCTAAAACTTTAGTGGGTAGCATTAGTCTAATGTGATGATGTAACACAAAATCACAACTAATCAGTCCATTACCCTAACCTATTAACCTTCAATTTTGAATCCCGACCCAAAATTCCAAATTGTAAACCCTAACCCTAACCCTAAATTCCTAAACTCTAAATCATTCAAATTAAAGTGAATCTTGAATGATTTTGTACAAATTCATGTGGTTCTTGTTCATCATACCACAAGTGATCATTGACATCGTTTTCACATGAATCGCCGGCTCATAATGACGATTTTAAGGCGAGTGCATTGAATGCACCCAAAAAAAATGAGTGCACCGAAGACATAACCATATATATTTAGATAAAGAAGATAGAAAATGATGTCATCCTAGAATAATATCCAAGTCAGACCCAAATCACTTATTTAGAATATTTGTTGTTTCCCACAACTTGAATCATGACATTGATGATTCATACATACTGTTGTTGACAGCAAAACCAGATATACCCTAGAGGAGCTCTCTTTCACGTTATTTATTTATTTATGAGTATGACTTTATAAAAGAGAAGATCCAAAAGTTACCCACCCCCATTACCCCCCCCCCCCCCCCCCCCCCCCCAAATTGTCTTTGAAATTATATACTTTTTTGGTTTCGTCTAGACTACTACACCACTTTATATTTTCAGACCCTTCCCAGCCTTTTAGATCCTAACTCCATCCTTTGAGGCTGCAACTTCACACCTCCTTCATTATTTGTGTTGAAATCAACACCTGAAAACTTTCATGGAAGGGATTATAAAGTTGCAGTCTTTTTGGCCAAACAGAGGGGGGGGAAAAGTCTGGCATCCAGGCCCAAGAGGGGAGCCCACAGTAATCTCACCAACTCCCACTGCTAGAAGAAAGGCGGGAATGCAGGGCTGGGCTGCCTGCTTGCCAATTGCCAAATGCCATCCATCCATATGAACAGTTGATTCTGCTCCAAGCGCAATAATCTATCTATAGTAATCGCTCTGAACTTTAATAATGTTTTCATAATTGATATTGGCAGAAGACAATTATAGAGCACATGATCGACTGATCGTCCATCACCATCTCAATCCACGCCATTTTGAAGCTGACATACCACCACTTTAGAATCTCGCATCACGCAGTTTCACGCTAACAACCTGACCCAAAACTATTTCGAGCAGCTAACAACTCAACAAGGTGTGTAGATGTAACCACACCCAAATGCTGAATTTCAATGGCATACCTAACTCTGCTTCTGCTGCCCGGATATCAAATCATGATTACCACAAACGGACAACACATTCATTGTACGTCTCTACGCCAATGTTCAACAATACTGCCTAATATTTTTACTTGGTACTTACCCTAAGGGTTAAAAAGAGAAATGCTGCCCAACATTCAACAAATCTATAGCACAATTAGAGCGGGCCGCCGGAGCGGGAATAAGCTAAGAATCATGGTTTGACGATTCTGGGAGTAAAGGTAGGCCTGGTCCAAAATGACTCCCTAGGTCTAGGTGGCGGCCCAGTCACTCAGCCTCAGCCAGTTAGCCACCAATTTTGGCCACTAAAGTTTGGCAAAAATGGCTAATTTCTGCGTTTCTGTGGCTGAGATTCCTTGATCTACAAGCAAGGAGCATTCTTGTGTACAGAAAATGAACGTTCCTTTCACGACTTATTAGGCTTCTGAACTGGATTCATCAGTAATCGGATGAATGTTAGCACTGAAGTGTAAGAAATTCAGTTGCCCCTTACAGGAGGCAACTGGTGCTCATAGTTGAAATTGACCCACAAATTTAAAGTGATGTTGTTATAACTTGTAAAGCTCATAAACTTCTAGGAATCAACCGCACTAATCTATTAATTCAATCTAAGAGAACATTAGTTATTTTCGAAATTGTGAAGTGTAGCACCTAGCTTGAATCGATTACGGTGATCACATCACAAAACTTGTTACGGGTTGAGGATTGTATGTATTGAAGGAAAGGACTGAGATAGTTACGACCCTGTCCATACAGGTACATGCCTGAAATACTGAGGAAAGCTGTATTGACTGAAGCCTCACCCAATTTTTACAACATACTGAGAGGCCCTATATAACAACCCAAAACTAAGACTGTCTCTTTTACTGTATAGGAAAGATCTACATACATGAAAGTGGCAACAAAGAGCAACATAATTGACTTGAATTGAATGATCTTTAGCTATGCCGTGCTGTGCCCGCCTTGCTCGCCTGCTGCTTTCATCAATGTGACCTACGTCTTGCTTACAAAAATTCAATGCTGCTATCTACAAACAAATGGAAGTGCTAGTAGTTGCCGAACTCGCAAGAGAAGAACGAAACACATTGCTGCCTTGGGAATAAATCAACTGTCGTGGATGGTACAGAGGACTTGAAGCTGAAGCTGAGGTTTACTTCTTATATATTAATACTATCTCCATCCAGGGCTAGTAGCAGGAATCCCCTGCCTCTGGAACCACTCCGGCATGTGGAATCTCTCGTACAGCACTGGCCTAACGTCTATCTGCTGAGAGAGTTGCTTGAGTAGTGGAAGGATTACATCTAGAAGCTGCACCAAGAGCGTAGAGGAGCGTGAGCGAGCAAGCGAGAGAGATGGTTGGTCAGGAACAAAAGGGGAGAAAGAACACTCCTTTTAAGACTTTGAAGTTGAACACAAACTGGTATGAAGTGGGACTTGTGAGCTGTGACTCTGCTTTACCTGTGTGTCGTGTGGTTGGCCAGCCGAAAATGGAACGCATGGGATTCCATTCAATGGTTGCAACAAGAAGCTGAAGGGGTTGTTGTCCACAATAACAACCCGACAAGCATCATTCGATATGCACGTCAGATCCTTCACATGTTCCCTGTACTCCCTGTTCAATCAAACGCAGCATAGAGAGCTTCAATACTCAGTTGCTCACTGAAACTTGGTCACAGTGGAACAAACGTGATCTCCTGACAGTAGTCGTAACTCATGATACAAAAGATCACGGTTTGATCTAGACTCCTACATCTAATCCTTAAAGGGTCCAATCAGTAGTTAGTAGCTGCCTGTACCAAATATATCTCATAGGCATATAAAATGTGATTGCCATCTACAATTTTCTCCTCATGTGTAAGTTAAGAACCTAAACAGAGAAGCAGAAAGGGACTTACGTGCTAATGGTTGAAGGCCGATAAAGGCGAAGGCTAAATAGGTTTTCTTTATCTATAATATCAACAAGGGGCCTTGCATAACCTGCAGGAGCATCCAGGAACACCGAAATTAGCAGTTGCGATTCATCATAATCGCCATTATGTTATCAGATAACGCAAAGAAACATTGGGCAAGATCAGGGATAAGAGCTAAGAACCTTCCAAGCCGGCAGTGAAGAGCACAAGATCAGCAAATTCACTGAGCTGTTTAAGGAAGTCATGCAATCCTGGACGCTCAAACACCGTTACATAATTGATCTTAGGCTTCCCGTCAAATTCCTTCAAATTCCCCAAAATCACACATTTAATTCAAACATATATAATAAGCATACTTAAACCCCAATCTCCACATGATGATAATTCCACTGCGAGCCCAACAAAACGGACCTTGTCCGACGAGATGCACTCCAGCTCGAACCACTTCAATCCACCCTCAATCGCCTGGCTTTTCAGCGCCGGCGGCAAGCTGGACGTCTCGTAAGCACAAATCAGCGTCTCGTCCAGGTCGAGGACGACCTAATTCAGCCCATCCAAACAGACGATTGTACAAAAATCCTCAGATGAAATTCAATTCTCAAACTAGGTTATTCCTTTCTAAAATCGTAACAAAATTGACAGCGAGAGAACTTACCGTTAGCCTGTGGAGTCCCTGGAGGGGCTGATGGACCCGAATCGAGTCCTGGTCGCCGGCGTTGATCTCCAAAGTGGGCGGGGCAGGAGGAGAAGACGGAGACGAAGAAGAATCGATCTCCGGGAGTTCGACGACGGGCAAGGGCTTGAAGGAGTGGGAAGACGAAGAAGAGGAGGAAGAGGAGAGAAGGGGGAGGTGTCCGAGAGCGCGGAGGATCTGAAGGAAGATCTGGAAGAAGAAAGCGAGCCAGTTCACGAGAGTCGTCCATAGCTGGAGAGAGCGAGGCGAGTAGACCACATCGGGCTGAGTCAACTCAGCCATCGCTGGTGGCTAGCAATCGACTCCTATGTGCAGAAGTCAAGAAGATTTCGCTCCCGTCTCGTCCGCCGAGTACGGAAACAGGAACTGCCGGCGAGGTTGGATACGACGGCGGAGGAGGATCGCGCCGGTGGCGGCGGTGGTCAGGCGGAGGAGGAGGAGGATAGTCGTTAAAAGGCCAACGATAATTGGAATTTATTTATGTGTTGGAAAAGCGGCATCTCTATCATCCTTTTCTTTTTGTTTTTTAGCTAATTAAAATATGAAAAGAAAAAGTGGAAAAAAGAAAATAATTAACGATAATTAAGAGAGTAAATGAGAAAAGCAAGAATCTGATTAAGACCGGGAGATGGGACTACGCGATTCCTATAAGGTTAGTACCCACGCGCCACTTCCGCCGGCAGGGTTACCTCTCTCTATGAAAAACGAGAGGTGCGTAGAACGTAAGCGCGGCTGGGAGCGTAGGTGAGCAGAGTGCAAGTGGACAAGCAACGACGAGAGAGAGAGAGAGAGAGAGAGAGAGACGTTTTTCCGTTTTCTTGGTTTAACAGAAGAAGGGGGGAAGCAACTCTGCAAGCAAGCAGCCAAAGGAGAAGCGACAGCGTTTGGTTGGTTGGTTCTTCAACGACTCCGTCATCCACAAAACTATTTGTCTATAGACTACTGCCGTGTCCAAAAACCCAGTTGACGATCGCGACGGAAAATGAGGGGGTTCGGATTAGATGCAATCAGACCCATTTTAAACTCACATTCAGTCTCTGCCGCTTCCTCGCCACTGAATCAGACAGAGGCAGAGCTTAACCCAAACGGCAAACCCAACTGCTTCCTGCATGCACTTCGTACTTGCCACGTTCGAGAAAATTAATGAGGGAAAAAAAACAACAACAAATTCACATGTGGTTCTTTGGGCCAATCAGCTGAGAAACTGAGGAAGTTCTATCTCGAGCTTATATTTAGCACATGGAGTAGTGGATAAGAATCGATGAAATCTAGGTTCTCATATGTACTTATTAATAGATCACCGTCAAATCCAATTTCCCAAAGGATCTCGATCCCAGACATGCATTTTTCTTGGATATCACCAAATCTTTCATCACAATAAACGATTATAACAATGATTACACTGTTCCATTCTCTGCGTGTTTCCCTGGCTGGCCTTGACAAAAAAAAAATCAAGAGAACTACGGGCTGAGACCTGAGTGTTTCTCATATTGAAATTGAAGTGTTGTTAGTCTATGATTACCATTCTAATACTAAATTCAAAATTCGACGCTACAATCACGAAGTTCCTCCATTAACTCGAGAAAGAAAAGCAAATTCCCTTTCCCCTGCCTCACAGCCACAGCACATTCAACAACTGAGCTGGGAACCCCCACGGACTCACTCTCTAACTCTCTCTCTCTCTCTCTCTCTCTCTCTCTCTCTCTCTCTCTCTCTCTCTCTTGCCTTCCCTAACGTTACAGACATGTCACATGGCGCATGACGAACGCCAGCCTATAGTTTAATTATTGTCATTTGTCAAAACATTTCATGCTATTGCCATTTTTTCTGGGTTCTGAAAACAATGGGAGATCGATCATGAGAAGCAGAAAAAGGAGGGCGCGCAACTTTCTGTACACAATACAAGTCCATCGATCTCGTGGTCAACAATCAAAAGATTCACAAAAAAAAGGATCTTTTTGTCAGTAACTTCAAGTAGAAGAGTGGTGGCTGTGGTGGTATGAATGAGAGAGCCAAGGATGTTGAAGGGCTTCCCTCGCAGTAGGCCGTCGCCAAGGATTGATCTCCAGCAAGCTCCTCAGGAAGTCTAGAAACACCTCGTCAGACGTCCCCACTCGATGCTCCAATGTGGTCTCCTCCGGGATTATGTACTCCATTTGGTCCGTCTCCTAAAATGATCGATCAATACGCAACCAAATGAAAAGCTTAGTAGAATGAGAAGATTTCTTGTTTCCACATAAGATTCAGTGATGAGGACAAGATCGTTGTTGAAAGTTATAAGCTTTCATGAGGAAAGACAGTCGTAGAGGAATGAAGCATAAGAGCTGAGGGTGAAAAACCTCGTTAATATGATAAAGGTCATGCTCCTTTGTGAAGTATTTGTCCGTCTCCTGGCCGTTCTCCAGCATTTCAATGTCGAAAGGACCAAGAACCCCCACCATCCGAGCCAGGATCATCACTACTGAATCATTCGGAAACAGCACCTGATAGTAAATCAATAATCGACACAAGTAAACCACCGAGAAATGAGCTTAGAGCCAGTAAGTTAAAGAAGGGTCAAAATCTGGACAGGTTGATCTGTCAGGCAGGTGGGCATACCTCACCAGAGCATAGCTCGGCCAAGATGCAGCCAAGAGACCATATATCGATCTTTTCGTTGTATGGATGGCCTAGCATGACTTCAGGGGCACGGTACGAACGAGACTGCACGTATGAGCACAAGGTGTCCGTCTTAAAGCAGCTGCTACCTAGATCAATGACCTTGATCTCACACCTGCTGTAACTCTTTATCAGAATGTTCTCTGGCTTCAGATCACAGTGGATGATCCCCAGGCGGTGCAAATACTCAAGCGCCTCCAGACACTGCCGGATTATCATCTGCAGCCTGCTTAAAGTGAAGTAAGGTTCGGCACCTGATTCTTGATTGAACTTCTGGAACTCGTACAAGTTAGCTCGTAGGAGTTCGCAAACAATGAAGAGATGCTCCTGCAGTTAAGATTTACACACTGAGAGCGTGTTTCGGATTCTAAACAATAAGAGTTTGCAAACACTGAGGAGATACAAAATGCAAATGCATTCATATTCAATACCTGATGATAAAAGTAATCATAGAGGCGTAATATGTGCTTCTCGTCATTCGGATCATTCTTGTTCACAAGCTTAAGAAGCTTGATCTCATCTAAACTTTGATCGAAGAAGTCCTTGTCATTCTTAATGATCTTGAGGCAGACGTCTACCCCCGTGTGAAGATCTTGTGCTTGCACAACTTTGCTGAAAGCGGCTGAACCTAGGTACTCCGTTATATAATACCTGCCTCCTATTACTGTGTTATTTACAATAGGCAGGTCCTTGTTTTCCTCAAATCCTGTCCTGATGACCATCACAGAAAAACAAAACAAAACAAAACAAAATAGCATATAATTCAGGATCCCAAAACTAGTTTTAAGATCTCTTTCATGGAAGATTATGAGAACAGCTAGTTGCTTCCGCAAACCTGTTCTTCCGGTGTATGATCCGCAGTTCAAATACTTCACACTCTTCAACATCATTTTCATACAAGATAAGTTCATCATCGATTGCATCCTCCTTCTCATTAGAAGGCAGAACCTCATGGTGTGATTCATTTTGTGCTTCACTCACTTCATCACGCCCTAGCTCATCATAATCCACTCCAAATGGAACCAGTTGATCAAAATCACCTTCACGGTCTTTAATCCCTTCATTTCCACAATCTCCTTCCCTAATTTCATTTACAAAATCCCCTGCTTTTGGCTCTAACCAATTCAAGCCATCGGTTTCCTTGGATCCTAAGTACAAATAATCAACAGGTTCTTTCTCATAAACCCTTCCACCACGCGCACCTCCACAACACTTGCAAAGTAACCCCAAACAACCATCCTGTTCATCCGTGGATCTAGCCTTGTTAGCATCCTTTTTCGCAGTTAATGTGGCATCGAAAAGACATGGCTTGTCCAAGAAGTCAACGCTTGCCTCAGTCTCAAACCCTTCAGATTTGTCATACAGTCCAACTGTGTCCTCCTCAAGCTGCCGCTCTGCTCCAGATGTCATCACGAACTTATCCTCGCTCACACCTACAAAGTATTCCAGGCGCGGATCGTTGAACGAGCCTTCACCTCGACCATCACCTCTGCCATCGTACCAGAAGAGATCATTCTGCATATCGAAATCAGGGTAGTCGCGAGCAGTGCCAAACTGCGACATTCTGTCCGAGGAAGTGTCTGAATCGCGCTGCGATCCTGACCGGAGTCCATACGGATTAGTGAATTCTGCGTATCATATAACAGAAAAACAAATAGGGCTCAGATTTTTTAGCTAAACCTCCGTAGATCAGCAATAATTAGACAGCCAAAAGGGTCCACCGTTTATCCTTCAACTACACGAGGGTTGAAACCAGACAAGTAGAGTGAGAGAGGCTCCCAATTGGTAGCAAAATATTCGGATTCATACCTTAGGGTTTGAGTTATCAATTTGGCGGAAAAGTGGGGGAATTGATTCCTAAACAAAAAATTCATTCATAACTGAGCTCTGGACTCGGTCCAAATTAAGTAAAGAGTGTTGTACCTGAAGAGCAGAGAGCACTGGTGGAAGATCCCAAGCTGACGAAGTCATCATCGGAGCTAAACCCAGAATTCGATCCATCACGAGGAACACGGCCGCCGGCGGAGAAGTCTTCTTCCCCCGCCTCCGACTGCTGGAAAGCGGCCGGCGGAATCCTCACCGGAGGTAGCTCAAACAAGAATTTCTCGAAATCCACACAACCCAATTCGTTTTTCTCGATGATATCCTCCTTAAGAGCCAATTCGACCTCTTTCAACCCACTCCTGCGCAGAAAGTCCAGAACTTTCTCCACGCCGGGCGCCGCCGAAGCTTCCTCCTCTGTAGCTCCAACTCGGCCGGCTCCCGGTACCGGTGATTCTGGTGATTCCGCCATGATCATGATGGGAAGTCAACAAATGTGGGGGAGGTGGAGGAGGTGAGAGAGAGGGGATGAGGAGACTTGAATTGAGAGAAGAAGAGAGAGGGTCAAAAGTGGAAGAGACATGGCTGAGAAGGGGGAGAAGGAGGGTTTGCAATTGCATGCTCTCTCGCTCTTCCTTTGTACTCTCTCTGCTTTTCTAATTTCCTTCTGTGACTTCGCTTGTAGATGTTCTTCGGGCGGGAGGGAGAGTGTATTATTTTTGCTGTAAAACTGAAGCTAAAGGTGGAAACTGGGGATGGTGCCGGGTCTTTCTTGCCGGATACCTACTTTGAAAACTGCGGGCCCGCTCTTCGGTTTTTGGGTTGGGTCGAGGTCTTTCCTTGGTTCGGTCGGTTCGATCGCTATTCGTTTTTTCTTTTAAAACAATCACTAATTTCAATATTTTTTATGAATCTAATTTCAAAATTTGAATTCGAGTGAAGATTAATTTCCACACTCACAAAATCACTATCACAAGCCGCAACTTCTTATGTCTTAGGGTTGACCAATAAACATCTTTGATGAGTGAATTAAGTTTCTTTTATGGTCGAATCAATTCGGTTCCTTGTAACAAATAATAGACAAGTCAAATTCGAATATGCTTATTGAGAAA